CAATGGTCAACTCTTTGTGGTATTATTATGTCAAGTTGATGTTTAACATAGATTTAATCGAACAGAACCAAGAGTGTCTTCAAAAACCACCTAGACCTGAACCACATGGAGTTTAATTAAGAGGGAGTCTATTCTGCGAGAAGTTTTTTAGTGCGTTTGCATCTTACATGCACACGTGTGGTGTGCATGTTTATTTTCTTATGGGTTTCTTTTTTTGTGTTTGTGTGCATTTGTGTTTGTGAAAGAGGGGTGGGGAAGGGAGGAGAGAGAGACCAGATTTTCTAAAATATGACGGTCTCTTGAAAAGGTTCGCATTTCATACTGCTCCACACCAAATCTCTTCCCTTGTTCACGCCCTTCACTCGTAATTGATCTGATTCCAACCTGAAAGGAAGAAACTAACACAGTTATTGCCCTCTAAAGATAAATGACTAGAAGTTAAAGCATGCAAAATTTTAAGTCAATTTTAACTTACTAGATCATTCATGACAATCATCTATCACTAGCAATATAGCATAAAATTTTTTTAGAGGAATAAAATTGACAGTTGAGGATTCATAAATGGCAAAAGTCTGTAGAAGCTCATAAATGCAATCACAAACCAGAATGATTCATAAAACCATATACCACAGTGACAAGTTTAAAATGAGAAAATATTAAAGTCTAAAATGGAGAAAATAGTATATACTTAATAACTAACAAATAGTCATAGAACTATGTGCATAGAATTGGTAAGTGCTGCTTAGTCAATCAAGTCAACCCGACATTACAATGCCATTCTGATTTCTATTGCTAATATGAAAAACCTGGAGAATGAATCATACCAAGATCTTAATCATTTTGGTCACTTATAGCCAATTGAACATTAACACAGTTTCCAAGAAACTGGGATTCAAGAACTGGGCCCAAGAATTTGAAGCATATCTTGTGGGGACATTGATCAATATCTAATTCAAATCTATGTTATTTCTCAAGAAAAAAGGTGGAAATTTTACTTCAGGCCAAGTAGTGATACCACTCACAATGTTTCATGTCATGATGATTAGGAAAAAATAACTCATGAATCAAAATAATCCCTCTCACCCTAGCAATCTCTATGTAGTATGTTCTAATGGAAGAAAAAGCAAAGCTTACATTACAAAAGAGTAATAGATCATGTTTCAAAGAGGCAACTTAGATCATATCCACTTAGAGGCTGAGAGCCAAATCATACTTCATGATGCCTGTTAAGCGAAACTTGGATTTCACATTTGCGACTAGTAACCTACTAGCAGCTTCACACGTCCAATGCACTTGCAGAAGACAATCAGTAGCTATTGAAATAACAAAAATCAAGAAAATCGATTATAAAATTTTTCTTTCCAATTTTTATCCCATTCATATATAAAAATATTATGGAAATGTGCATGCATATACAGTAGAGATCAAAAACTTAATTGGTTATTTTATCTCTTGTTTGTTTTAATTGATTTGCGAATCTAAATTTGATGAAAACTTGTTTAATTTGAATAACGTTAAAAAGTGTTAGGTTCTAAATTAGAGAAATTAAATTTTGGGGATTTAATATCAAATTAAAAAGATATAGGTTCTATATAAAAAAATCCTTAAACTTGTATTTTCATTGTTCACCTCTAACTTTTAAAGCTTAACATAGTGAGACCATCCCTAAAATTCGTACCCTAAGTCCTAACCCGAAAATCACCATTTTCCCATTTAGATTAAGTGCTAACTTTAGCTTTCATTTTCCATTAGGATAAGAAAATTTCCTTTTTTTCTAAATAAGACCTCAATTATGTTGATCTCAAAACTCAACCTATTGACCTTCATGCAATAATTTGTAGAGACGAGGATTTACTTTACAATAAATGATCTTTGACATTATCCTAGACTCCTAACTATATGAGAAAAGATGATAGAGGAAAAGAACAAAAAAGAGTGTGATGGCACAGATAGACGAAAAGGACAAAAAAAGTTGAAGTAAAGCTTGAAGGACAAATTCACCGTAGCAAGGAAAAAGATCTTAATATAAAAAGATTTACTTCACAAAAAGTGCTCTTTTATGTTATCCCAATTATGTGGGAAAAAATGATAGAGGAAAAGAACAAAAAAGAGTGTGATGGTAAAGATAGAGGAAAAGGACAAAGAAAGTGTTGAACGGCTTGAAGGACAAATTCACTATAGCAAGGAGAAAGATCTTTTATATAATAATGCGAAGGTTCAAAGACAAAGATGGTGTTTTATCTCTATATTGTCTTGGAGATCGCACATGAAACTACTTGATACCATTGTATTTCCGCAGCACCAAACTTAAAGAGAAAGGTTGTATTTTTAGTGTTATTGAGCGCAAGCAGTTTTTACTATATATACACACATACACGATATTGACTCATCAAAATCATGATCGGCGTCATTCATCTTGTTTAAAATATCATCAAATGCATATGATAAAATTTTCACATAGTTTGGAGTCCTTTAGTTTGGAGTCCTCTAGAATAGACAACTAGTTTAATATGTAGATTTTTCAGATAGCTTAATAGACGTTCCTTTTGCACCTAGCTAAAATAATGATTAAATTTTTCAAAACAATATAATTTTTTTCTACATATAGATTATGATGAGTGCAAATTAGGATGAGCAGTGTTGATCATCGTATCGAGCAGCCTATTAGGCTAGATCACGATAAAAATCTCATCTCACCATCTCATTATCATACACATATGTGTGTGTGCTTTTTTTTTTGGTATACTTTTTGGTCAAGCTTTTAAGTTTGCTTTTTCATAACTTCATGTTTGGTAAAATACCAAGTTAGCTTATAAGCCTAAATTTATAAAGCTATACCCCAGCTTTTGAAAAACTAGCTTATAATTTCACATAAATAAGCTAGGTTTGACCAAGCAAATTATTATTCTATGTAAAAAAAAGTTTATATAATTTTTATCATAAAAACCAAAAGCTAACACAACTTAAAAGCTTCTGAACATAAGCCCCTCCAAACACCCCCATCGTATCACATCATCTTGGTATTAAGTATTAACAAAAGAGATATCGAATGCAAAAAAAAAATATACTTGTAAAAGACGTCTAGCATATCCTCCCTCCATAATCCGTGCAAATGAAGAAGCATGCGAGTATTTATTTCCCTCAAATGCATCATAGATGTCAGGATGGGCATCTAAATGAAGAATATCTACAGGTCCCCCAAGTTTCTCTGATACAGCTCTCACAACGGGGTAGGATATTGAATGGTCACCCCCCAAGACTAATGGACGAAGCGGAGCCTGTGATAAAATGTTCAATCATGTCAGTGTCATATAACATAAATATCATTGAAAAATAAGGAATGTATAACATGTAAATCATGCAGATGAATAAAGAAATGATTGATGAGGTACATTATGGTAAGGACAAAATGCTTTGAATATGTAATGCAGATGGCAGAAAGTAACTTAATGTCACATATCTGCCTTCTCTCTATAGAAACAATATGTATGAGTTTGTCTGATGGTTGAAAGACACATCCAATAAAACAAGGCAAAAAGGCTATAACTGCAACTTTTTTTGCCTAATGACCAAACTTGGATATAAAAAAGGTAATTTCGCAAATACGTTGACAAGAAAATAAAATAAGTGTAAATTAGACTGCAATGAAATTGTCAAGATAGAAAGTGCAATAAGATATTTTCCTTGTAGAACTCCTGCTAGATGGTCAAGTAGAAATGTAGAATATAAAACATATTAAAAAGTTTCAATAGAAGAGTACAAGGTCTTACTTCTTCCATCACTAGCTTGACAGATTCACTTATAATATTCATTAATCTATCATCATCGATACCACAATCCCGAATTTCTTGGACTGGAACATCACCAACATCAGTTAGGACACGAGGGTCATTTAGTTCTTTGCCTGTATGACAAAAAACAAATTTACAATTGCAGACACTAAAGTTCATATCTCACGAACTGTAAGAAACGAAGATTTAACTTAAAATGCTAGTAACACTTCTATAAATAAAAGCAAGGATCTCGAAAACATTGGCATTTGTATCATGCTGACTGCCCGTTAAACTTGGTGTAATGCGTTAAAATGTATAGATAATAATTAGATTTTGTATAGGGAATCAGATTCACCTCCCAGGCGTAATGCATTTCAAATAACAAAATCACTTGCAATATGCTAATGTCATAGTATGCATGGGAAGTTTCTTGTACCCTCTTCAGTAGAAGAATTCGTGCTACCACACCAGATGGCTTCCCTAATACGAGGAGGAGCAAAAGCAGGGCCCTGTAAGAAAGATGAATTATGCCCTAAGGGAACTCCCAGAAGTGATGCTGAAGCTTTAACGCCTCCAAGCGCCCTTAGTAGCTCTCCCTGGAAAGGAAAGCGGGCTTAATGAGAATGATTAGTTTATAAGCAGGAAGAAAATACGGTAGTAAAGCCAATAAGATAAATGTTATACGATTAGCTGAAGAGATACAGGCATTTAGAGACTTATGAGGCCCATTACGATGTATGTACTTCAGTGCAGTGTTAGCGGGGCGCAAGGCGCAATTCAGGGCGCAAAGGTCCCTTACGTGCACTATGCGCAAGGCGCACAACGAGGCGCGCGCCTCACTGAACTGAGGCATATAACTCAAACTAATATTTTTCAACATAAGACAAATATTTTCCAACATAAGACAAATATTTTCCAACATAAGACAAAGAAGCATATATGCAACATGTTTATAAATTATCGCATAAAAAAACTAAATAATATAATTTCACCTACTAAATCACGAAAGAGTCTTAATTAGCATGCATAACATAGAGAAGTTCATAAGTTTCCACAAATCACAATGCAAGATAATATTCAACATGAGCAAAAGTCTACGAAACAAAATAAGCAAGTAGCAAAATAACAGAATGTCTAGTCATCCTCATCATCATCGTCATTCAATTGAAGTGGAATTTCCTCATCCTCAGTTTCCTCCTCTTCTTCATTGAACTCTTCTTCATCCTCCAAGTCCGGCTCGCTCCTAGATGACAAAACAATACTACTTGAAGATCCTCGAACCCTAGCAGTAGACCTTAAAGTTGGTCCAAATTTTTCTTCAACTCTTGTTGCTACGCCTACAACACCCCATCTAAGGTCATCCTCCTCATCCATCAAGTCATTCTCCGCATTGTTGCCCTCTCCAAATTGACCTAACAACCACTCGTTGTTTTCATCTATGTCAATCAACTTGATTGAATCAACAATATCTCTGCAGTCAAATCTTTCCTTCAAAGCTTGCAATATACTAGATCCTGCAATCTATTGTGATCCAACCTATTCCTCTTCTTGGTGTGTATCTGCAACTCATATAAAGTCAAATAATCAAATTAGCACTCAAAACCTAAAAAGAAAAAGGTTTAATGGGAATATGTAGGTACCAGACCCGAAACCCGTTTATTTCAAAACAACCCAATTCACTGCACACCATCAGCTGCGCAGTGAGTCGGTGCGCCCGACGGGCACGCCAAGCGCACACGAGGCGCGCGCCCCGCGNGTATTAGATGGGCGGGTCTTTACCCACCCAAACTTACCCAGCTAACAAATAGAAATCTCCTCTCCCCTCTCTTTGCGATTCCTCTCTTCGAACCCCTAAAAATCTCGGCTTCCCTCTCTTTGTGATTCATCTCTCCGAGCTTCTACGGGATTTTCCTGACGGCGCCGCCGCAGATCGGCGACCGATGGGCTTTGACTAAGTCGACGACGAAGACAATCGACGGTTTTGAAAAACAAATTCGGAGCCAATCAAGAGGCGAAGTAGGTAAGTTTTGATTCTGCTTTTTGATCTAATTGTTTCTAAACGCGATTTAATGTTTGATAAGGAACGATTCCAGTGATTGATTGAGCGATTGTTAAGTTTAGGGTTAGTTTTGGTTGATTAGGGTTCGATATGAATTGGGAAAAGTCTCATTTTTTTACATGGTTTATTTTTATTGTCAGGAATTTCTTTAGTCATGAATTATTATCTAATGGGAGAGATCATCAATGTGTATGTCTGAGAAACAATGTCAATATTGTGTTTAAATCCATATTTATTACTTATTCTTTTTTAATGAGTTATCAATTATTCTTAAAAATGCTGAAACCAACATAAATATAAAAGCTAATTTTAGTGTTTTCTTTTTTACTACTTCATAGGCATCTACTCCATCTCCAAGAATTGCATATTGAATCATAATCCTATAAAAAAGAGTTTCTCATTTTCAAATAAGGGTTTGTGAAATCTTCCACCAATCTTAACTATATAGGTGTCTTTCTACTAGTTTTCTAGTGCTATCCAGTAATTATTTAAAGCATCATAACTAACACTCGTTATTTTCTACTTTGTGAAATATGCTGTAAAGATGAAGAATCTGCAAATAATGTTAGTACGGGTGGCGAGTTGATTCAATAACATAACATAGTCAACACGGTTCATAATATTAGTCCACTTAACAGATGACTGGTGGTAAAGGTACATCATCCATCATTTATCTATTTACAATGCACCTCGCTGCACATGGATACTGCACATGGATAGGCACCCATCATCATCAAACTTCATGCCCCATGCTCCAGAAACTCCTAATCAAGGCTAACACATTCACCCAATACGATATGCAATGCATGCTTATAAGTTATCATATGTAATGAAACATACATTTACACACACAGAATCATCAGTTGTTGAAGCCAGAATTTGGTGCTGGTATTTAAAGCATCACAACGCTCATTTTTGTTAGACTGATATTTCCCCTCAAATTTAGACTCATTCAATAGAAGACTAGCTAACAAAAACTAGTTAGGAGTGCAGTAATTAACTGAGACATATGTATATATTACTTGCTTGCATGGGCTGCTGAAGGTTGGGGACGGAGGAGTAAACGTTCTTGCTATTCGCGTTGATGAGGGTTGGTAAGTGAGTAAAATAGTCAAGGCATAGTAGTTGGAAGTGCATTGTGTTTTCTTCAGCTGAAGGTAACTTGCTAAAACTTGATTTGATTTGAAATTTGATGCAGGAAATTTTTCTTGGCTCGTAATGCTAACTGTTGATGGGAAGTTGTAGATTGCATTTGTAAGATTTCTGAGCTCCTTTTACCTTTTTATTTTTTTGCAAAGCTGTAATTTTCCTCCCTACATTAACAGCTCTTTAAAGTTTCATAAACTAATCCTACTAGTCTAAATATTTGCTTGCAATCTTATTTCATTTTTGGATGACAAACTATGTGAAAATTCTATAAAAAGATGAAAGATGATAAGTTTTGCTATAAGAAACTACATTCATTACCAAGGCATGACCTAGCGACATGATAATAAATTCTATTGCCATAGATAGCATAAAGAATAATTAATGCCTTTATACACATGAATGATGCAATTTTAAGTCTTTCGATTTATCTACATAGAGAAACGTCATATCTTCTCTATGAAGGATATTTTTTTAACAAATTCAAAAATCCATACATAAATATTTTTGTCCTGTGTAAACTGACATCTCCTGCTCTTAGTTTCACATGCTGTTGATTTCTGACACTGCCTTTTCTTCTGTGCTACTAACAAATGCTAAATCGATACACCGATGCTACATAAATTTTGGGTCAGCTTTTGTAAAGGAGATAATTGTCAAGCGCAAGAAAGACTGTTTACATCTCCAAAACTCAGAAAAAAAAATCTTACAATATGCATAATATAGCAACCCAATCTTATCTGATCTCCGTATAAAATGATGCTCACAATACGATCAATATTCAAAATTTTTTAATGCTTCCATTTGAGGACTAATTCATATTTATCTTTTAAATTGCGTATTATATTACCTAGCATATTTATTAGAAGTTGAAACTGTACTAGATAAGTTTGAATACTGACACGTCCTGCTCTATTCAATGGCTTATTACAGACAATTCGGAGGCCATGATTAAGACATTATGCTTTCTTTTTTCTGCGATATTCGAGACTTGGGGATCAAAACATGGAGATTGACCAGAATAGAAATACAAGTGAAGCAAAATGAAATATGAAGGTTCATGTTAGACAAGCAGAAACTGAAATCATAGGGAATGGGTTGAAGCTTTTGTTTGTAGCTTATGTATTGGTTCCTTTGTTCTTTTCTTCCAAAGTTTCAGCCTTCTTGGTCTTCTACATATAATGTCATATATGAAAGGACATATGTTTTCTATTCATAATAACAACAAAGTTTATATTAGGATAAGAAACTTGTAAAAATAGGCCAATTCTTCATTTATTTCTTGTATGTGTCTCAGTTTTAAAACCCCCGAAAAGTTTGCAGAAAACCCCCAAAATGTCTGCAGAAAACCCCCTAAAAGTTTGCAGAAAACCACTTGAAAGTTTACCAAAAACCCCCTTGCAAGTTTACAGAAAAACCACTTGAAAATTTGCAGAAAACTACCTAAAAGTTTGCCAAAAACCTCCTGTAAGTTTACAGAAAACCCCCTAAAAGTTTGCAGAAAACCCCTTGAAAGTTTGCAAGTAGATTCCTGAAACATATATATATATAAAAGCATCATAACTAAATGAGTTATTGGGTCCCCCATGAACCACTCATTTAGTAAATGGGTGGATGAGAAGTGACCCATTTAGCAAATGCTAAATGAGTTATAAATGGTCAAGTGGTCATAAATGTGCTCACCCATTTATGAACCAACCAAAACCACTACTCGGTCCTCAGCAGACCAACATAATTTAGTAAAGAGACTTCTTTAACAGAAGCCTAGCCTCTGCTTCACAAACCGATCACCGCTACTTTGTTGAAGAAATTATCTCCTTATTATCAACTCCATGCTGTCCTAACTCAAGGGAGGTGGTGATCTAGTATAACACACAAATAGAACCGCAAAAACCCTAAAAACACATAAAGATTTGAACTTTATCAAGCTAACAGAAATTAGATACACAAAAATTGAATCACCTTGAGCTTGGCCCTCTCGCGGATGAGAGTAAGCGACGCATCCATGACCCGGTTCTGCCCCTTCTCGAGGATGGTCGCCGGCATGTTAGCAGCAGCGCTAAGCGCGCTAAGCTGCCTCAGCGAGCGGATCCACTTCGTCCCCTGACTCATCGCTGGGAGAAACCAAATCAAAATCAATCAGATAGAATTTTAGAAAAAGAATTCGAGATTCTGATGAACACAACCGCCGTGATTCCTTTTTATGACTATTTTTTTTTTAGAGACCAACCAAAGAAAGTTGGGAACTTTAGGCAGTAGCTGCCGTCGCTGGTCAAGACAAAGTGACGCCGAACGCCTCGATGATGTGGGAGAGGGGAAGAGGAAGAGTGACGGGCGCTGATAACAGATCAGTAATTTGCTGCAACTTTCTTGGTTTTTTGTTGCGCGTGCGAACGCGTGCCGCCGCCCGCTCGTCTGTATTTTGGGTAGTGATACATCTTAGAAACCATCCAAAAGGGAAAGGTACGATCAGTTCATAACTTCACACATGACATGACTCTTCGCAAGAGACGCGTGAATGCAATTTTTCACCCCCTCCTCTCCCTCGTGTGTTATTATGTCTACTGAACTATTTCACTCTAAAGTCATAAAAATATATCATGTGTTAGAATATTATTACGTGCCCACCTATCCTATTAGGGGCTGTTTGTTTCACCAATTTGTAGAAAAAGATTAGTATTTGAGGTCTGACAGTGGCAAAATTGTAATTTTTGAATTCTTTGTGAATCCTATTCTAAAGTTTGGATTAGAAAAAATTTCGGGATTACAAATTCCATAAAGTAGCAACAGTATGGGTTTTTTATAGAAACCCAAATCGGAGCTTGAGCAGCGGATTTGGGCGAGATTTCTGACAGCGGGCTTCAATGTCGATTCTGATTCCTAAACCTCACGAATTCGAGCCCTAGATCTGGAATCGTTGTTCTGTTCCCGCCTCATCGCTCTCTTCTTCGCGCCTCTTCTCCCGCCCTTCGTCTTCTTCTACTTGGGGTCGGGGCTGTTACTCGAAACCCTAGATTCTCCCGAGGCATGGTTTCTTGGCCGATTTTGTGTGTAATCGGCTTCTCCCTATTTGATCCCGCCTCATTTTGCGTCGTGATTTATTAGATTTGTTTTCCATGAGCTTGTTGGTGGGTTTCTTGCCTTTGATTCTTGGTGATCCCTTCTCGAACTTGTTCTGGTTCGGGTGGGATTGTTGGCTACGGTGGGTTCTTTGACTTCCGTGGGTTTGTTGCTTGGACGTCGGTATTTTTTCCCCTCTGCAGCTAGGTATAAAATTTTGCACTCTTTTTTAGACTTTTTTCTTCATGCTTGATGTGATGAATGGTATCTGTAGAATGATAATTTTCTTGATAATTCGTTACATGTATAATTAGCAGAAAATAGGGTTATGTTTACTAAATTTCAGTTAATTGTGTGAAATAGAATGCATGATATTTGTGTGAATGAGTTGTTTTTAATATATGTGTTTACCAAAGAATGTGAATGCATGAAAAAGAATAGGGTTAAGTTCATTACATGAAAATCCACCTGGTAGTAGAATGTGTTGTTATTGATAATTGTGTGAGATGGAATGCAACATTAGTTAAAATAATTTTCATTTCAATTAGATTTCTTGCTTTTGAAGAAATAAATATTTGTATCAATTATCTAATTAATTTTGACAAGAAATAAGTAGACATCTTAAGCTGTAACTGTATGATAATTTTAAAACGGATGTAGATGGATATGGAAGATGAGGAAGAATTGAAGAGGATGTGTGCTAATACAGCTGTCTGCGCCGTGGTCACTTTGGTAACATGTATTTTGAGAATGCGTGCTAAGCGCAAGAGAATATCAACTTGTACGAAGCAAGAAAAGATCAGAAAAATATATCGTAGAGAGGCTCACTTTAGACGTGTACTGGAGGGCTATCAAGATGGCTGCCAATCTTATATTAGAATGAGACCGAGGGCCTTTTTTAAACTTGTTGAAGTAATGAAAGCAAACGGTTTATTAAAAGATACAAGACACGTTCAAGTTGAAGAACAGCTTGCTATGTTCCTAAGTATTATTGGGCACAAAACTAAAAATAGAATAATAAGAACTGAGTTCATAAGATCAGGGGAAACAATTAGCAGGTATTTCAATAAAGTCCTGCAAGTAATGAATGGATTACGTGATCGGTACATGAAGCAAGCCCCAAAAGAAGTTCCCCTGGCTGGGAGGGGCAGCAAATAATTATAGGGTATTACAAGACGCCCTGTCCAGACCACAGCCTTACGGGCTCCGAGTTTATGATGGTATTCATTCTCACTTGTGCACATTATGAATAATATATTAAATACTTGGCAATATTTGAGATTTTAAAATACTGTTTAATTAATGTAGGTAAATATTACCTATGTGACGCTGGATACACCATAATGTCAGGTTTCATATCCCCGTATCACGGTGTCCGATATCATTTAAAAGAGCACATCGGTAGGACACCAAAGAATAGGAAGGAGTTGTTCAATTTAAGACATTCATCTTTAAGATCAAAAATTGAATGCACATTTGGGATACTGAATAATCGGTTTAAAATTCTTGCGGCGAAGCCGAATTATCCATTTCCCACTCAAGTGGACATTGTACTAACGTGTACTGTGTTGCACAACTTTATTGCCTTGGAGGATCCGGATGATGATATTTTAAATGAAAATATTGAAATTTATGAAGATACTGGGAAAGAGACAAATGAAGACGATTCAAATGTGGTGGACTATACTCAAAGTAGGACATAAAGAGAGGATCGAGATGTTAGAAATGAATGGAAGGAGATGCGAGATCAAATTGCTTGGGAGATGTGGGTGGATTATTGTGTAAAGTACAATGGTGGTAACACAATGGAGAGCGATTTAACTTAGTGTGGTATTTGTTCTATGGCTATGTAATAACTTGGTGAATTTTAAAATACTGTTCGCATCGATATTGTTTATTGTTTCTTTGCTTGTACCAAACCATTACTACTTTTATCGGTTGCTCTTTTGTTATGTTGTTTGAGAAATATCGTCGTTTCGTATATTCCTTGATAAATGCATACATATCCCATATTGCTTTATATTTCTTTATTGTTAATATGGCTATGCTTACAAAATATATTAGGTATGGCTAACAATCCGGCAGATAAGCAAAGTGTGCCTTCTCATTCGAATGCAATGCCAAATCCTACATCAGGGATTAACATGAACTACATGCCTGTTCGACCACAGCCATTTACTTCACCTCCGCATACATTCTCACCATTCCCACCATACGATGGTAATTATGGTGGGATGACACAGCCGCCAATGTCATACATGAGCTTGTTAGGCAGTCCACAAGGTTTGCTGTTTCCCACAGCCAGTTCTCAAAGTAGTGGACCTAATCAATTTTCACCGAACACTGGTGATTCAAATGGAAAGGATATTCATGACGTTGATGGTGCGGAGCACACTTCGCCATTGAAAAGAGGGAAAAGATTAGCCCATAAAAAAAAGTTCTATGTGCCAGGTTGAACTCAAGAGGCGTGGCTAATAAGTTTTGGCTTCCAGAGCACGATGATGTACTTATTCCTTATCTTGCAGATTTAGCATTGGATGGCATGAAGCCAGACAAGAACTTCAAGGCTGAAGCTTATAAAATGGCTGCCATGAAAATCAACATGCAATTCAGGACTGATTTCACTCACCTTCATGTCATTAACCACTTGAAATGTTTGATGAACAAATTCAATGACATGAAGGCTTGCCTTGATATAAGTGGTGCTGGGTGGGATGAAACAAGTAAAATGATTACATTGGATGAGGAAACCTTGAAATCTTGGGCCCAGGTATAACAAATTCAGTATCTATATTGTCACCTTCAATTTAATACATTTGATTCACTACTTATAAGTATTGTTATTGCAGGACAAATCCAATTCTAAGTACAAAGCGTACATAAACAAACCCCTTCCTCACTTCAAAATTTTACAAGTTATCATGGATGATGATCAAGCCAAGGGTGATTTTGTTAGGCCCGTGTACGCTAACATTGGGTCTAGTAGGTCCATACCTATTCCCGATGATGATTGCGAGATTCTAGAGGAGAGTGAAACTAAACCACAGTCTGATGCTTGCAACCAACCACATTCTGGTGCTGTTAACCAACCACAACCCACTAGATATAAGACTAAGAGTAAAGACAACATGACCTCATCATCTAACAAAAAAACCAGAAAATCTAATCGTGAAGAGGAAATGCTATGTGCCTTTGTTGAGTCCATGTCTCAGTCAATGAGAAATCAACACGTTATTCACTAGACTGAGCAGTTGGCTGTAGTGTTGAAGGAACATAGGTCTGAATATTCTGAGGAGTTCCTCGATAGGGTTTTAGACCATTTATATGACAATGAACGTGAAGCTAGGAGGTTTTTCATAAAATCCAAGGAAGATCAGCAAAGGTACATCACAAAATTAGTTAACGATCAAGGTTGGCCGGATAACTAGTTTGTTGGGTTTCGATTATATTTTGATGGATATTGTTGTGTTAATTGCACAAGGTTGGCCGGATAACTAGTTTGTTGGGTTTCGATTATATTTTGATGGATATTGTTGTGTTAATTGCAAACTATTAATGTTGCAAGGATATTGTTGTGTTAATTGCAAACTATTAATGTTGCAATATATATTTTTATTATGAAGAACATCTATGCCGTTGTGTGATTGATGAATTAGTATATTTGCAATCTTTGTTGCAGGTAAGTATGGTCGTGGAATGATCAATGAGTTCTTTGAATTTTGCCTTTGCTTTTGATATCAGGTAAATGGGTTTGTTGCTTGGGTTTACTGATGTCGGTTTTTTACATTCTGTTGCTTGGGTTTATTGCTCCATAGGCACACGTGGTTGCTGTGGGTTTGTGTAATGGGAGCTTGTGCAGCTCCTGCTGCTGCTGGGGTTTGCTAACTACATTGGTTTGAGCTTGTGTAGCTCCTTGCTTTCTTGGGTTTGTGCCTGTTATTGGGAGCTTGTGCAGCTCCTGCTGCTGCTGGGGGTTGCCAACTGTTTTGTTTTGAGCTTGTGTAGCTCCTTGCTTTGTTTTGAGCTTGTGTAGCTCCTTGCTTTGTTGAGTTTGTGCCTGTTATTTGGAGCTTGTGCAGCTCCTGTTGCTGTTGAGGTTTGCCAACTGCTTTGTTTTGAGCTGGGGTTTGGTGCTGTTTTGTTTGAGCTTGTGTATCTTTCATGCTCTTTGGGGTTGTGCCTGTTATTTGGAGCTTGTGCAGCTCCTGCTGCTGCTGGGGTTTGTTGCTTGTTTACCCCCTATCTGCTGGGTTTGCTTCTATTTTGTTAAGAGCTTGTGTAGCTCCTTGCTGCTGGGTGTGTTGCTGTTTTGTTTTTCCTTGCCTGTGGGTTACTTGTTGTTTAGTTTTGAGCTTGTGCAGGTCCTTGCACTTGATATGTGGTAATGATGATGATCAGCGTTTACTGAGAATGCAATCTAACTTACATCATTTATTATATCCAGATGAGGCAA